GACCTCGATTGCTGCTTTGCTAATGGCAAGATTTGAATGCCATTATGTCATTGAAAGTCTGCACATTTTCTTGGGTGTGAAGTTCAGATGTTAGGAAGGTTTAGGTCTAATTAAGGGCAGAGCTGTAAACCACACCAAATGATCTTCAAGGTGTCCATTTCAGTTCAAAACCCACATAAATGTGGAATGCTCTTTAGCAGGCTTTCCACCTCACCAGTTGTATACTGTACCCAATAAAATCACACCAAGGTGTCAACAACACACAAAGTGGTGGTAAAATAGTGAGGGTCCCTGATGCAGGTGCCTACCTTGAAATGGCCCTGGCAGCCAGTGATAAAGTCTGAATTATTGCTATTAGGGTGTCAACTAGGGGTGCTGGTAGTGTAGTGGCTAACACATCTGTGTTAACCACTGCGCGTCTGGGAAACCAGAAGGTACCGGGGTTTGATTCCCCGCAGTGCCTGCCCTTCCTGCCAGGGTGAGAGGCAGGCAACGCCATATGGCCTCAGCAGCTCTGTGCGTTGTAAAGCCTCAATCATATGTGCAGGGTGTCAACTAAAGCCTGGCTCATCTATGTAACAATGTCTAAAAACAAGCAGGTCATGTCCAAAGTTTGAAAATGGGTAGCAGATATTTTTTCCTGAGATGGAGTCATTGGTTTTAATATATTTGTCTCCAGGAGCCACACATATTGACCAGGTGAAAAAGTGTATGGTAATTATTTTTAGCAAATTAAGAATAATTAGGTTCAGTAGATCTGAGTTCATAAGCTTTTCAAAGGGCAGAAATGAGAAACTGAAGGAATCTGTGAAAAAATAAGCCTCAGCTGTTCTAGGTCTCAGTTTTCCAAGAGCAAAATGCATGAACTGCTCACTTGGGCAGTTTTGTCTCTGCCATAGCCCTCAGTACGTGTTAAAGCATGTATCTGTGAAATTATGCATTTTTTGTCCTTGGAAATTGTGTAAGAATTTGAAAATGAAATTGTTAATTGTGGCATGTTTGTTCCTTTTCCTCATATGGATGTGCTGCAGTCTGTCTTAGATGAAGCCTTTTGGAAGTGTTTTTAGATGAAGGTGTGTGTTGATCATCGTATGCTGGATGATATTGAGGAATGGAGGCAGTTGCCCTTCTACAGTTTTGCATATTTTTTGTTCAAACTCTTTCAATGGGATAGAAGGTTCAATTCCTGGGATAGGAGGCCATGCTAGGCATTGCCTAGTGGGCAAACTCTTACCCCCAGGACCCCACCACCATTGTGATCTTGCAGGTCAAGGGCAGAATTTCATAGTGCAAGCTCATGGCACAGTGATAGCATGATCTGTTCTGAGCTCTGGCTTGACTTGACTTTTGGCATGGGTGCTGCCACCATCTGCAGGCCATTCCAGTCAATGCAAATGACGAGTCCTCAAAGCGACTGGAACCTGTGCTGCCAGGGGTGGATGGATGGAGGAAGGCAAGATGCTTAACCAACAACTAGGGGATGACAGACATTTCTAGCAGTCATTATCATTTCCTCAGAACCATCCAGTCGCTTTCCAAACCTTCAATCAATTTAGCGTGCTAAAGTGAGTTTATCTTAAATAATAATAAGTGAAATATCCTACTCTTCATACAGGTTCTGAAGACAGTTTGCCCCCATTTTTAGAATGGAAGGCCATCAGTTTTCACACGACTTTCCCGTTCTTGTGGTCCACATTATCACATCACATTGTGGTCATGATATTACTCCCTGGTTCTGCGTTGTTTCCACTGATGTACTGGCTGTGACATTTAACCTGGTGATGAAGCCTCAGATCAATTTCCAATAAAGAACCTAAACCGAGTATCGGTGTGGGCGTACTGTGGGTCTTTGTGCCATGGCCATCTACCATCAATGGCCATCTCCTGGACAATTATGAAATCGCTAGTTACGCATGTTTGATGTTTGACGGCGTCATTATATCATGGTTGAAATTGATGTTCAGAAAAGAGGGAGCTGAAGCTGAGAACCGTGTTGAACGCCAAGTCGACGCTCGTAACACTGCGTGCCATCGGATCTTCGCGACGCACTCAGTCGCTGAGGCTGTTTGGCGTCGCCTGCCTCTCGCCCGGCAGGAAGGGCGGGCACCGCGAGCAATCAGACGCCTTATGCCTTACCTCTGGCATCCCAGACGTGTAACTTAACCACTACACTACCGGTGCCCCTGCTGGTGTATACCGATGGGCGTATCGGCAGTGCGCTTTTCGTCAAGCCGCACCGCGTTACTTGGTAATCCAGCTTTTCAATGTCTGTCAATCCATCTGTCATCAAACTACTAGTAATTTTGTGCAATATGCGTATGATCCATATGACGCAGAAATTGCGATGACGTTTCAGGACAGCAAGCAGCACAATGTCGTATCCGCTGCATATTCAGGAGCATCCGATTCCAGGCCGACGCTATGCGAGATGTGGGCCGTGGGTGCCTATGAGGTGAGCAAGGTCTTGGTCACGTATCAAAACGCTGGTCGAGCGTTATTCAGGCTCGAAGGGAATGAGCCTGAGCAGTGGTCGGAAATGAACAGCCGCGAATGGGTATAACCCGTACCTGTAGGCACCAAACAGGGTAAATTATAGAATGTGAAATTGTATAGCAAGCCCAAATAAAGACTCAATGTTAAGGTATGGTTCTTTTTAGTTAAAAGTGCAAAAATTTGCACCACGGGACGTCGGTTGGTACTACGAGAATGTAGGATACATACAATGCATTTAGAATGATCATAATTCTGCATAGACTCTCCACCAATCTGCTTTGAGCCTTGCTGGCATATCTTACCATCCTGAATCCCCCTCCACTTGTGTTTGTTTTTGTTCGCCGACAACTTGACCTGGGGTTGTCGTTGGGTTTGGCCGGGGTGAGGTCACGTGTCACTTATATTGCAGGACAAAGTGGCCAAAATGCGGATGAGAGAAGACAACTATTACAAGGTGTGGAATTGATGTGGTCCAGTACTATGACACAATGATATTAAGACCAAATCGCATAGCAAATGGGCTTCGAACGAGTTCTTCGTCACAAGGTGCGTATCAGCGCCGGTGCCGGAGAAGTTTGAAGCGATGCACCGGCAATGGGATTAGATGCCTGATGATGTGTTTGGGCATTGGTTAGATGCTCTGCTGCTATGATAGGAGATCTGTTGTCATGCCATCCCAATGCAGACTGACATAAGCGCATGTTTTGGCTGCTGACATGATCGTCGTCACTGGGAAAGCATCTCAACGAGACCCGTTGCGTCAGTATGTTGCATTTGCAGCTGATGCGGTGGATGCTCGATGCCCGTTCTGTTGTGCAGCTATCAGAACTACTGTCAGCAGGAGCTGGCCAGGCAGGCCGACTCCAACCTGGAGGCGCGCCGGCAGAAGCTGAAGACCAAAGCTGCAGCAGGAGGACGACGTGTATAAGGTGGCCGCCCGCCCCAGCGTGCTGCAGGGCACGCCTCGTGGGGCCCAGTCGTACAGGGCTCGTCTCGCCACTCAGCGTCCTGGCCGGGCTGGGCGGCGCTTGGCGGCCATGTGGTTGATCGAACCCAGCCTGACCAGCCAGGCGTCGAGCGGGCACACAGTGGAGTGCGCGCACCAATTGCGGCCTGTGCGGAGCGCGGTGCTTGACGGCCCGTGCGCGCACCAATGGCGGCCTTGTGCGGAGCGTGGTGCGGTGACGGCCGTGGCGCGCACCAATGGCGGCCTTGTGCGGAGCGCGGTGCGGTGACGGCCTGTGCGCGTCCGTGCGCGGCGCATGCGCTGCGGCGACCGTCCCCGTACGGGCCATCTTGCTGGCTCTCCGTGTTTGGCGAATTCACCTCTGATGTGTACGTGTGCGTGCGCGTGTGCTTGTGTGCGTGCTTGTGTGCGTGCGTGGTGCGTGCGTGCGTGCGTGCGTGCGTGCGTGCGTGCGTGCGTGCGTGCGTGCGTGCGGCGTGTGTGTGTGTGTGTGTGTGCGCGCGTACGTGCGCTCGTGTGCGATCCATGCTTGCTCGCGCGGCGCTAGCCCGCGCTGCCATCACTGGCAGTCTGCGTGCTGTGCCGATGTGTCCTGTCCTTTGTCCTTTCCCATGTCCTGTCCTGTGTGCTGTCCTGTGTCTTGTTCTGTTCGGTGGCCTGCTGGTTGTCGTTGCCTGCGCTGCGTGTCCGCGTTGCCGGCCGGCCGCTGGGTGTGCGCGGTCACTGCCGGTTGCACTCTTGCCACTCCTGCGCGCCGCCTGGCTTTGTAGACGGTCCGTCCTGGGTTTGCGCGGCAGCTGGAGCTGTCGCAGCTGCCGCCGCACTGTCGGCTTGCGCGCCTGCCGCTCGGAGATGGACGAGTACCGGCAGCGGCAGCAGCGCGTGGAGGCGAATGCGCGCCCAGCTTGAGCAGGTGCAGCGTGAACAGGAGCAGAAGCGGCTGGAGCAGGCCCGTCAGCGGCTGCAGCAGCACTGGCGAGTCAACAACGCCGTCCTGCGCCAGGTAGGCGCGCCGGCGCTGCCCGCCCACCTCGGGAGCGGAGCCTGCTGCCCCCGGATCTTCTCACTCACTAATGGGAGCCGAATAACGATGCTCCTACAGCGTTTCGCAGATGGGGCGGGGAAAGGACTGGGGGCTTTGGTATAGGCGGGAGGAAACGTTGATGAGACAGGGATTCTGGGAAGGTTTTGCTCTCGTTTCCTCCCTCCCGGTTTATTACGTCAAATCTTCATATTTGAATCATATTGTTAAATGCATGGTTGCAGGTAAAATGCAGGTAAAAATGCATTCATCAGCCCATATGTATATAGATATGTTTACGTATGTCAAGGTTCCGGTGAGCATTGCTGAAGTCATTGTTGGGAAGCATACCGATAGATAAGATCTGAGGGACCACGATGTGATGCGGAAGACCTCGGTTGAGTACTGTTCCTATGTCCCACCAGGTTGAGTCAGAACGCTTAACTGAAGGTGCCAAGCTAATGTGGGAGCAGCAGATCAGGGAGAAGCTAGAGAGGGAGCGGCTTCAGAAGGAGAAGGATGAGGAGGAGGAGGCCCGAGCGTCGGAGGCGCCTGGAGGAGGACAAGCGCCGGTTGAAGGAGGAGGAGGCGGCCCGGGAACGGAGTTTGCACGACGCCCAGGAGTTCCTCAAGAAACAGATGGACGAAATAAGGCAGGCCCACGGTCTCGTGACATTTCGTATGAAATGTGCCAGCCCCGGATTATTCACGCCTTGTTGAAATCCTATAGAACGTCCTCTGTGTAAGTGCTTGACTCATGAAAAGGTAGATAGTTGTATTCATTGAAAGGCTGTCATTGGATGGGGTCGGTGTCCATTGCCGTGCGCCGGCCACTGGGCTCAATCGACGCAGTCTGTGCCGAGGGGAGGGGGTCTGATTGCCTAACGTACCCCTCTCCCGGGCAGGCAGCGGGAGAAGGCGGAGGCAGAGCTGCGGGACCAGGAGCGCGAGCTGCTGGACCGGCAGCGGCAGATCGAGGCGGCCATCGAGCGGCGACAGGAGGTGGAGCGTCGCCGACAGTGTCGACAGCTGAGGTAGGGCGGTCTGACAGTGTCGCCAACTGAGGTGGGACGGTTCGACAGTGTCACCAGCTGAGGTGGAACGGACCTACAGTGTCGCTATCTTAGGTGGGATGCCTTGCCTGTGTTGCCGGAAGACTACCAGTGGGAGCAAGCTGTGACACGGCGCGGCACCGCTCCGTCATAAGCGAGCACCTCTCTGACATCGGTGTCAGGCCGGTGGCCCCAGCCGAGCTGATGTCCACTGACCGGGCCTGGCGTGCCGTGCCGGCTGCTGCCGACCGTCCGTGACGGCCGGCGCCCGCCGCTCAGTCTGTTCCAGGCGCAGCAGTGTAACGCCAAGCTGCGTCAGCGCTCGGCCCAGGTGGAGGACGCGCTGCGGGACGAGCGAGACTTCCTCGACTCGCTCATGGCCTCAGTTGAGGCGGGCTCGCGGCAGCCCCCAAGCGCGGAGGTGGCCCTTGCGAATACGCTCGGGCGGCAATTGTAGTCGGTGACGTTTCAGGTGACCTGCTGTGTGGTCTGCTGTCCCCAGTTTACGTCCTCTGTAGAGCGGACCCGTTCAGTGTTCCGTGCCTGCCTGCCAGCTTGGCAGCGCGTCTACAGCTCACCATGTGCAGCTGTAGACGGCGTGTACAGTCTGCTCACACTGTCCACGTGACGGCGTCAGGGGACCGAGACCGTCTGAAGCTGGCCGAGGGCGGCCGAGCGGGGCCGAGGCGCACCAGCTGCGGCAGGTGCTGCAGCAGCAGCTCGACCTGGGAGCAGGCCAGGCGCCGCCAAATGGAGAGGTGCTGTTCAAGTGAGTCACCCTCCCTGTCCGGAGTCGGGGATTGACTCCGGCGAGTGGCGTGGCAGTGGGGGTGCCGGTAGTGTAGTGGTTAACACGTCTGCGTTAACCACTGCGTGTTTTGGGAAACCAGAGGTACGGGTTTGATTCCCCGCGGTGCCTGCCCTTCCTGCCAGGGTGAGAGCAGGCGACGCCATATAGCATCAGCAGCTGAGCGCGTTGTAAAGCCCCAATGACACACACGAATGGTGTGGCGGCGTCACGGATGATAACACCCTCGCGATCTAGACATTTGCCTGGGACCAGCGACATTATTGACGGTGCGGGGGTTCCTCTGGCTTAAAACTACACTGTCAGTTTTCCTTTCCCCCAGGTTAACTGATCTGTACCGATCTAGATGTGCCATGACCCTGCGTGAAGATGGTGTCCGTGTTTGCCTGTAATGTCCTCCGTATATGTAGGTGATGGAGCGGAGTTTGGTTTAGGGCCGGGCGGTCGGGGACCTGCCCCCCAGAAGCAGTGAGGGACGAAACAGTCGGGTGTGTGTTGTGTCGACTGCGTGACCCCATGTCTCCAGTGAGGAGGCTGAGCAGAGCCACGTGGCCGGCCTCCTCGCCTTACAACTGCCTACGACGCTCCCGCAGTGTAGGTATGTGACGCGGCGCCGTCTCCCCGCGGCCCTCTCTTACCACCCACCTTCCCCTCCACCCTCCCCCCCACAGTGAGGATGGCGGAGCAGGTGTGGCTGGCGACGCGAGGCCGAGTGGGCGCGTCGAGGAGGCGGCGCGCCGGCCGTCTGTGGCCGACGGTTGTGGCCACCTGGCGGCAGCCAAGATGGAGGCGCTCGCCTGGAACAGTGTCGCGCGCAACAGCGGCGCGAGGCCGAGCTTCGCGAGACGGGCCGCCGCGCAGGCCGAGCAACAGGGTCGCTTCGTGCATCAGACGGAGGAACTACGGCCGCCAGCGCCAGGCCGAGCTGGCGCGACAGCATTGGGTCGACAGGTTGCGCCCCTCGCGCTTGACCTGGGTGGTCTGGTGGGGGCTGGGCGGTGCGTCACGACAGGGACCCCTTGGACGCTCTCTTGGTTGCACCCTGGATGATGGATGCCGTTTGGGGCATGTTTGTCAATGTTGACAAGGCGCCTGGATGCAAGCGCACAACGCTGCCGGTCACCAATCTTGCTTGATGCGACGAGTTTCTGTCGGTCTGGTGAACAAAGTTGTCGACGAGTTTATATCGGTCGGTGAACAGTGTCGACGAGTTTCTATCGGTCTAGTGAACAAAGCGTCGACGAGTTTCCATCGGTCCGGTCAACAGTGTCGACGATTTCTATCGGTCTGGCGAACAAAGTGTCCATGAGTTTCTGCGGGTCTGGTGAACAAGTGTTGACTAGTTTCCATCGGTCTGATGAACAAAGTGCCGACGGTGTTGACACTGAGGTCTGACCGCGGGCAGATTGAAGAAAAGACGCGACGTCGGGACGAGCAGCTGAGGGAGGAGCAGGCCGATCCTGCAGGAGCAGCAGCAGCACGACCAGCAGGAGGTCTGCCGGCTGCGGGAGGAGCTGGACCGCATTGCAGTTCGAGTCCAGGTCCTTTAATCAGGTAACCGTCGGTATCTCGGCTCTGGGCGTAGCCGGACAGCAACCCGGTGTTCATAGCTCGTCAGAAATGACCGGGTTGCCGGCCGGTATCCTCTGTTGGTAAGGCTAGGCTGTTGGCGGTCTGTCGCATTTCCAGCAATGCGCAATGATTCCGAACATCTACCAGTGAGTGGTGACGGAGGGGGCCCGATGGTGCTTCCAGACGTCGTTGTGTAATTTGGTCATGTTTAAGGTCGTGGGCTGACCGGAGGGGGCGCCTCTGTTGCAGTATCGCGACCACCGGCCCACCCGTAAGCTGGCCTGGTGAGACGTCCTCCGCTGTTCGGACCGCCGGCGACCTGTGGAGCGGCCTGTGGGCCCGGCCGCCGACCTGTGGGAGCGGACCGGTGTCCCGGCCCGCCGATCTTGTGGAGCGGTCCGGTGGTCCCGGCCGCCGACCTGTGGAGGCGGACCGGTGGACCCACCGCCGCGTGCGCCGCCGCTCACACCCAATCGTTACGGGATCTGGTGCCTTCTTGTGAACGCTCGTAGACCGCCAGAAACGCTGTGTTGGAACGTATCTCACTGCCGTTTGCCTCGGACGCTCCGTCCGCCGTGTGGGTGTGGTCGGTTACGGCGGGAGTGAAGTGGATTAGTGTGGTGTGTGTTTGCGTGATATTTACGCCTGTGCCGACGACTGAGTGTGAGCAATGCTCAAGAGGGCGTCACGTGGGTAGGTGTTTGTTGCGTGGCCTTTCGCCACGTCCATGGCGCGGCCTGGTCGCTCGATATCCAACAAAGCCGGTCGCGGTCGGTGATGCTCCAAAGAAAAAATCCCGAGGAACGTGGGCTTGCGAAATAAACGGTTCTACATATTTTTTCTCTGGAGTCACGTATGCGCGCCGAGAGACTGCATGGCATGAAGTAAAGCAGACCACGCCAGGACCTGGGGGCGAGCTGCAGATGGCCGCCGTGTCCCCCCCTCGTCGAACTCTGCATCGCCGACCGCACGACACAGGACGACTGGTGCCCACGCTAACCTAACAGAGTGGGGTGTCTCATCCGCTGGTCCAGTCACGACTCCGCAAACAGCACGCTATCAATATCCCATGTATTACCTTTGTTATGGACGTAACACAGTTAATATGTAAAATACCAGATGCCGCCGTGAACCAGCTCCGCATATGGCACGGGGTTAGTCCATAGTTCAGTAACGCGCCGCTCCCGGTTGGCACGCGGGCGGCCACCGAGGACGGGCGTAATCACATTTGTACTGGTGCAATATCTACAGCAACCGACCCCGCACGAACGCGCACATTATTGTCGGGAGGTACTTTGTACTCGGCGCCTGGCGCACGTGGCTCCGTGCGGCACGCGAGCGGAGGGGCGCCACCGCAACGTGCGCATCGGAAGGCAAGACGAGCGCACAACGGGGCTTAACTAATATCACAACCTGCTCGGCGCGCAGGCAGACGACGGCGCACCTTAACTGAGGGGTTAACCTAGCTATCGCTGGCGGACACGGCCGGGCCGCCGTCCGCGCCGACCGCTCGGCGGGCGCACGGCTCGCTGCCGCGCGCCCCGCTGACCGCCCGCGGAGCTGCCTCCGCGGGGCTCCTCTACCGCTCAGCACCCACACAACCCGCACGACCGAGGCAACACACCACAACGCTCCTCCTAAGGCCACTTGACGCACGGCCAACGACCGCGCCAACAGAAACGTCGCCCGCTGGCGTCCGGAGGCTGCCCGGCGGCGAGGGGACGGGTTACAGGGTTATACGGCGCCGCGCGCGCGGCGCGGCAACGGTTAATGCTCCTAAAACCCGGCGGCGCGCACGGCCGACGGGCCGCTCCGGCCGCTGCCCCGGCCTCTCCTCAGTCGAGGGCGCGCGGCCGCCGGTCCGTCAGCCGGACGCCACGCTCACCAGCTGCGACCGCTCAAGTCCCCGATCCGGCTTCCGTCGAGTTTGGCCGCGAGAGCGGCGGGCCGGCGGCGGTGGTCGCAGAGCGCGCGCCACAGTCGCAGCTCCACACGCCGCCCCTGGAACGGACGATAACACGGCGGTCGCAACACAACAGCCGGTGACACGAGGCCAATATCGATCAACACAGATAGTCAGCTCCCCGCCGCCGGCAACAGCCCGTGCCGGGTAGAGTCGGCAGGGCCATGTAGCGCATCGCAAGAGTATGACAAGTACGGGAGTAGAGATAAGAAACTGCCTCGCGACAGGCAGCCCAGCTCCTTAACCTTGTGAAAAGGCGACGCACACGTTGGGGAGCAAGGCGTTGAAAGCAAACAGATACAATACTTTCCACTTCTCACCACCGGCTCCGCCCCGTAGTGTTCATCTTATTCTAGCCGCTATGATAACCCTACAGTCTGCCCCAAATCTAGTGCTTCGGGCGACACCGCGTCTTACGGTCCAGGTGCACATAGAGTCACGTGCTCCAGGTGCGGCATTTTCCGCATCAACACCGGATGAACTTATCAACTCGCTCGCCTCAGATGGCTTTCTCACCACTTGCGTCAGCCATCACAGGGGCGCCACTTCTGCAACAGTGGGGCCGCTCTCAGCGTGGCCCCGCCGCCGGCTGCTCCCTCCCCGCCGCTCCCACCCTGTCCCGCCATCTTTCCGCTCTCGCCACTCACCTCAGGTGAAGACCGCGAAGGTCTTCTCGCGTCATCATGGCCAGTACATCCTCCAGGCGGAAGCCCTCGTTCACGAACTGCCGACAGACAGGCACGCGGCCCGTCAGAGCGAGTCGCCGCGGCTCACGGCGATCGTACGGTCAGGTGGCGCCCGGGAGGCCGAGATCCATCCCCAAAGCCCCGCGGCCCTATGCATGAGCTGGCTGGAACCTCATGCAGCGTTATAACGCCACCTTAGAAAGTCGGTAAGCGACAGACGATACCACCGAAACGGTAACCAGCCCGCACTGGGGAGTGGGTCAGCACAGCACGCCTCCGAAAAACCAAACGCCACGACACCGACCCGACCCGCGAAACATAACTCCCGGCCACCTCCTCGGCACCGGCGGAGATCTATGAGCAGCGTCGTGGAGGTATACCACCGCAGATCAGTACAGTGTGCGGGCCAACGCTCTGGCCGGCGGCGCTCACCCGCGAGACGGTGAGTGGTCGGCGCCGTGCTCCACCAGCCAGTCCACCAGACAGCCGTCCGGGTCGGCCGACGGCTGCACCTGAATCTGAGGCGCCGCCGCCAGCTGGCCGCCGCCGCTGGGCGGCAGCAGCGGCGAGCCGGCCGCGATGCCCGAGTCGGCCACAGACAACCTGCGAGCTGTACCTGCAGGCGGCGGCGGTACACGACGGTCAGACTTCGGGAGGGGTCGAGGACGGTACGCACCATAGAAGTACAGACACCTGCGACCTGTACTTGGATGCGGCGGCACCGGACGGTCAAACGCCGGGAAGGTACGGGGGGGGGGGGCACGCGGTACGGGAGGAGTACCGACACCCCCGAAATGTGCCCGATTGCGGAGGCGCCGGCAACCGGCTGCACGCCAAGAGGAGACGATAACATGTGCGGGGGGACGAGACAAGGGCACCAACACTGGTGCGGCGGAGGTCCCACGTTCTCTGAGCTTCTGACGATCGACTCTGCGTATCGGAATACACTCATCTGAGTCCTGAACAGCGCCGCGCCCCAGTCCCAGCACCACAGTGACACTGAGGCCTCAGCACAGCACGCCAGCGCTGACACGTTTGCCAGCCGCCCCGCCAGTGGTCCACATGTGGTCAGCTGACCCCCGGGCTCCCCGGCGCCGCCACTCACTCGGTGTCCTGGCGCTGACGGGCGGCCGGCTGGCTAGCCGACAGGCTGCTGAGCACCTGGATCTGGAGCGACCTCTCCGACAGCGTCCAGCGCAGCAGCTCTCTGTACTCGCGCTGCGACTCCAGCAGCTCGCTCAGCAGGCTGCCGGCCGAGGGCGGGGCGTCAGCGGCCGAGGGCTGGGCGTCAGCGGCCGGGAGCGGGGCATCAGCGGCCAGGAGCGGGGCATCAGTGGCCGGGAGAGGGGTGTCAGCGGCCGGAGGCGGAGCGTCAGTGGTCAGGAGCGGGGCATCAGCGGCCGGGAGCGGAGGGGGCGTTATCAGTCGAGAGGAGGAGGGACTGTCAGCGACCAGGAGCGGGGCGTCAGCGACCGGAAGCGGAGGGGGGCGCTATCAGTCGAGAGGAGGAGGGAGTGTCAGCAGCCGTCTGCGCTGCGCCGCACTGTGGGATCGGACGGGGCGTTTGCGGCCGAGAGCGGCCCGCTGCCGCCGCCGTCATGATCGGCGGCAGCGAGCTTGAGAGGGTCGTTGTGGGAGTCGCACTGGCGTTGGAAGGCTGTTACGACAAGCGGACAGCACGCGCTCTACCACACATCCGACAGCAAAAGGGCAGGCGTGGGATGAACGAGGCCTGGGCACAAGACCCCACCCGCCTGCCACTCACATATTTCAACAAGACTTGGCCGACACCCCTCTTGATTAGCCCGAACAGCGGCACGCACTTCCGAAAGCTCAGGTCAGACCCAGACACCGCTCTCGCTGAGCCCACCAACGCACCTACGCCGCGCATTACACATCCCAGAGCAGAGACATTGCAGCGCGGTACGTCGTCGCCATCAGCCTGCCACGACTAACCACCTCTGGGCGCACCCTCGGTCAGCTGCCCCATGGCTCGACCCGACCGCGTTCAGCGCCCGCTCACCGTTTGTTCTCGCTGCGCAGCCGGTGCAGGTCGGCCAGCGTCTGCGGCGTGTACTCGTCGTGGCGGACCGAGTTGATGGTCGACACACCGCTAGTGCTGCCTTCCTCGACCGCGCCGGCGCCGCCGGCGGCCGCGGCGGCCGCGCCCTCTGCCGGCGAGCCGGCCGCGTCCGGCGCGGCCAGACCACCGGGGCCGGCGGCGGCCGCCGCCGCGTCCGGCGCCCCACCACCGACTCCTGGTCAGCCGCCCAGCAGGTTGGCGCCCAGCTCTGTGGCGGCAGCACGGTCACGCGTCAGAGGCGGCGCTCGCGGCGGGGACAGTGGCGGCGGCAGGGACGGTGGCAGCGTCAGAGGCGGCACTCGCGGCGGGGACAGTGGCGGCGGCAGGGACGGTGGCAGCGTCAGAGGCGCACTCGCGGCGGGACATTGGCGGCGGCAGGGACGGTGGCAGCGTCAGAGGCGGCGCTCGCAGCGGGGGCAGTGGCGGTGCAGCGGTAGGGACGATGGCGGCGGCAGGGACGGTGGCGGCGGCAGCAACGGTGGCAGCGACAGGGACGATGGCAACAGCAGGGACGTTGGTAGCCCCAGACCCGCCTGGCAGCGCGGCGGTCGGAGAGAGCGGCGAGCTCGTGATCAGATCCGACCGCAACGCGAAGGATTCCACATCAAATGGCACCAGATGGGTGCACATAGCGTGAGATGACTGACGTAGGGGACCTCATCAAGGCAGCAGTGTTTGTCGATGAGGTTACTATTATTTTTTTTTTTTTAAATTCGCACAAGTCTTCATATTCACAAACATCAGTCCCATGACGGTATTGAGTTTGTGTTGTAGATTCATTGATGGCATGAAAGGAACGTTCACTCAGGCGGTGAGAGTTATGCATTTTTATCATATTAGCACAAGACAATGCACTTCCTTGCTTTCTTGAGTTTCTCCGTCCGGGCGTTATGCAGACTGCAGCGTCAAATTTTCCCGCAGTACGCCATTCTGCAGACTGCAACAAAGACTGGCAGAAGGCTAGTAAGCGTTGGGTTCGCGGATGAGACGCAGCCCAGCCGGCCAAACTCGCGATGTGACGGTCGGCGTCGCTGGTCGCAGATTCCGCCGGTCCTGACCAGTCCCCCCCCCCCCTGACACGCTGTGGTGCTCTGCCGGCCGGGCTCGCTGGCCACTCCCGGCTGCGGTGCCGGCGGCCGGGAGCCAGCGGCGGGGCTCACCTGGCGACAGGATCAGGATGGCCATCTGGATGGCGCTGCGCACCAGACTGTCCAGCGCGAACATCCAATGGGGCTTGATGTTGTGCGACCGGAGGGCCGTGTTCACCTGCCGGCGAAACAGCGCCGCCGCGTCAGGACACGGGATCACAAGCAGGGGCGGCGCCGGCCGGCGGCGGCGAGGCACGGCGACACAGACGCGGACGGCACGGGCCAGCAGGGGGACGTGGTGACCTGCGGGGTCCCCATGGCCCGCACAGCGTCCAGGCCAGGGACGCCCGGCGGCGGGACACGCAACTGTGGCCTCCGGGCGGGCGGACCCGAACAATCGGGTTGACACCCGCCTTAGCAGCTGGGAGTGTCACTCGGCGACAGCCTCTGATGGCTCCGGGACTACTCCAGCTGTGATAACTGTGACGTGGGTCGTGGGGTGCAATGACTGCAAATTACTCGGCGCTCAGTGGTGGTCCTTCTCATCGGAACACAGGCACCACACTCTATCGTTTTGAGCGCAATCGAAGCAACTGGCCAGGGAGAGGACGAAGCGAGGGCGTGGTATCAGTCTGTACTTCTCCGAAAACATCATTGTTGGAGGTTTCACGTCTGACCTAGATTTCCCACCAAACGAATCTGTCACCTTAATAAACCACATTAATACACAGACCTGGCAAATCAAAGCACAAACATCGCACATATCTGTCACACTGGCGCACGCCAGTCCAACCCAACTACACCGCTGTCGTTGCTTTAGAATAGTTTTTTTTCCGTAAGCCGCTCGGCGCAAGCAATTGAGTTTGAACACAACCAACAATAAGCGGCCGAGGCGGCGCGGCCGAACGCGTCGGTAGCAGGGGCAATGGATCAGATCGCGCTAATTACCGCCTCCTGGAAGAGGTAGAGCGCGCGGTGGATCTGGTCCATGGCGCGGCCGTCGAACTCCAGCTCCTCGCGCAGCGTATTGATGGCCGCCTCCAGGGCAGCGCGGTTCTGTTCGGGGATAAAGTCGCGCAGTCCCTGCAGCAGCAGGGTCAGCTGTTCCTGGAACAAGAGGGAGGCACGCGGTCGGAGGCCGTTCGGCGCAGGCAGGCAGGGTGGACGCGGGACTGAGACGTTCGTCGGGACACAGACGCTGGGTGCAGCGACAGCGCCGAGTCAGACCGCTGCACAGAAGCCGGGCTTGCCGTACCATGTTCAGCAGGATGGGTCCTATGCCCGGCTCGTTACGGAGCGCCGGCAGCCAGACGTCCAGGATCTTCTGCTGGTCCTGGGACAGCACCTTGTGCAGCGTCATGCGCCGGTGCGAGTCCTTCTTCAGCAGGTAGAAGCCGTCCTCCTGCCACAGGTATCGACATCAGCTGGGCGTGACGACGATAGCAGGTCAGTGACCCGCCATCCATGACAGCGCCGGCGGCATCGACCGTGCGATACATGGCCGCCGAGCGACACTCCCGCGGCACTACAATGGCGGTAAAGCACCGCCACAGAGCCCGGCTCGCGGCACTACAATGGCGGTAAAGCACCGCCACGGAGCCCGGCCAAATCGCACACAGATCACAACACGGAAACCCGATAACACTGCACTTCCTGTCGATGGGTTTCCAGCACGGCGGAGGGGACCCCCCGCGACCGAGGGGGTGTACGCGTGTGCGGCGTCAGCCGGGCCGAGGCTCCGCCGCGCGGGGTCATACCAGCTCGCGCGGCGAGTCGACGTCCGGGCTCATGAAGCCGATCGACGAGTTGCGCCGCATCATCACCGTGTCGTCGAACTCGGCGCTGCTGCAACACGGCGGCGGGCCGCGTCAGAAGGCGGCGCCGCACACAAGACGCCATGCGATGCGAGATAGGTACCACCGCAGCAGCACGGAAGGGAGGGGGGGGGGGGGGGGGGCGGGCGCCAGTGCTGATATCTGGACGCGATACGCCGTAAAGCGGACGGAGCAGCTCGATATGGAGAGGGTCGGAATGCGCCGGCCCGATAAAAGACCAGCTGTCAAACAGCACGTGACGAACGGATTAAATTCTCCGTTTGTTTTTACCATGATGTGATTAGGAAACATCGCACGAAGTCGCTCAAGATTCAATCCAAAACTCAGCTCGGTTTTCAAAAACCTGTACCAGCCAACCACCTAGGGGAGGGGGGACCTGTACCAGCGAACCAACGCTTCCACCCATGCTACATCAAGAACAGAGCAGAGCCCCTTCCCAAGTGGAATGCCACCGGCTACAGCCAACCGGACCCACTCGCGCTACGAGAGCACTAACACCGCAGCCCTGACACGACCAGTGTCGCCCAGCCCACAGAGCCATGACTGAAGGTGACAGGGCCGAGGCTCGAGAGGACCACATGCAGCAGACATGTCCCGCGGTCCCGCGTGCCAGCCGAGCGCCCCGACCCTGTGCCTACCTGGAGAAGGAGAGCGTCGAGCACGAGGCGGGAGAGCCCACAAGCATGGCAGCCGTTGCCCGACGGCCTGGCCCCGTACGAAGCGCTAGAAGAGGAAACAGGCCGGTCGGAGGGTGGCGTCGTACACTACAGCGTTAGTCGCGTCTCGACAGTTAGTGCCATGCCGGACAGGGACGCGGGCCGACGGGCCGGCCCGGCAGCACCCGCCAAGCCAGTCCCAGCGCGCCGTGCCAGGCATCGGCGTCACGCGGCGCACCGGCGCTACGTGCTGTCGCGCCGCGGCGCAGTGGAACGTCAGGCGCGGCGATCCAGGATGCGAGAGTCGAGATGCCCAGTCCCGTGCAGGAGAGCGCTCAGAGATGGGGTCAGTCGGATTGCAAGCGTCTAAGGAGGGCTCTGGAACTGGGGTCGGCTCCCGCCCATCATGAGTAATTCCACTGTGCGCTTTATCGGCACAAGGCCTGAAAACCTGTGTCAAGCCGAAGTCTCACATCACAGATGGCGTTGATGACTGCCAGCATCGTCAGAAATACGAGTAAGAACGAGCGTCCGAGCACGAGAACCACAGCCACGCCAAAGGCGCCTCGGCGGCCGGCCGCGCGGCTCGGCGAGAATGGCCGGGGCCGTCACCCGGCCGGACGTGACGTGACGGCCCTCCGCTCCGCCCACGACACGCCACGGCCGGAGGGCCGCGCTGCTCCCCCTCCCGGCCGACCACGACGTCACGCGAGCCGGGCGGTGGCGGTGCCGGGGAGGGGCGGTCGACCCCGCCCCGCCGGGTCGAGCTTCCTCCGCCCACGGCTTCGGATCGGCGGCCGGAGGCCGGACCGTGCCGGCTGTGACGTGGAAATGACCGAAGCCCCCAGCCGTGAAAACTACAGATGAATTGGCGCTATGAGTGGAGGCGTCTGGCATATGCCAGACGCGCATCAGTATCGGGCCGTTCCGTCGGCCTCAGATCATGGGAAATTCCTAACGAGCCATAAGTGGAGCCCTCTTGCAATAAACACGTCCGCTGAGTGCCGTGTGGCTGACGGTTACAGCAACACCGCTGTCGAACCGCACAGAAATGCGGTGGTCCCGACTGGGGGTGGAACTGAGGGGTAGAGGGTCTGATCAACACGGAGGAAACCCTGAAGGCAGCGCACTCATGGCAGAGCGGGATGGCGAAGGTGGATGGGGTGGAACTCGATGTCCCGGCCACCCGTGTGACGGATGTGCACCAAAACCAGGCCCCTTCGCCGACCTGAACAGAGGTCGTGGGCAATTCCAGCCGGCCGTATCCGGTGCACCCTTGCACACGGCCACGGGCACGGCGCAAGGAACAGCCGCCAGACGACGCCATGGGAGCGAACGGCAACGCGGGTGGTCCCACTCGGGGACAGTCGGCGTGCTGAGTAACTCGAGCGCCGCTGTCACACACAGAGCACCCTTGAAGGAAAACGACATAACTCAAGCCGCGCGCCCAGTCGCAGCGAACGGGTGGCACGGCATCCGCTAGCCGGGCAGCACGGTTTCCCTGTCCGTGCGGAGGCGGCAGGGCCGCGGGAGGCCAGCCCACGAGCGCCCCGCCCCGCGCCCGGCCGGCCGCCGGCTGGCGGTGTTTACCTGGGGCCGGCCGTCTCTTGCCGCAGCGGCACAGGCGAGTGCCGGCCCGGCAACGGCCAGCGGAAGTACACGTTCACCATGTCCTCCGCGTCGTTCACCAACAGCAAAGGCACGTCCGCCGACGACCGCATCGTCGCGCTCTGGGGTCGCACGTGACCGTACGTGGCTGTCTCGCGCGGCGGGCTTTCACGGGGGCCGGCGGCCGGCGCTGGCTGGCCGCCACGCCAAGCCAGCTGCGCGCCGACCGATCACTGACAGGCCACTAGCTTCACACCGGTCGGCGGGCCGTCGCTCGGCTCGGCTCGGCCCGGCGCAGCCCGGCTCCGGTCGGCCGTCGCTCGGCTCGGCTCGGCCCGGCGCAGCCCGGCTCCGGTCGGCCGTCGCTCGGCTCGGCTCGGCCCGGCACAGCCCGGCTCCGGTCGGCCGCCGCTCGGCGCGGCCGGACGCGCACGACTGCCGGCCGGCCGCGGCGCCGCGCGGCTCCGCCTGAGTCAGCCGCGGCCGCGTGCGGTGCGGCGGCCGGCGCGGCGCCGCTGCACCGGAATCGTACCGTCCCGCCGGACCGGGACCACCGGCGACCCGCCGGCGACTGAGCGGCCAACCGGGTCACTGCCCGCCCACCCCCCACCCCCCTCCAAATCGTCTCATAGCCGACCCGCGCCGGAAGGGGCCCGGCTGTGACGTCAGGCGTGCGTGGCATTCCGCGCGGCGGCGGCACGTCTCCGCGGCGTGTGTGTGACGCCCAACTGGCTGGGCGTCACGCCCGGTGTCATCCGCGGCTGGACGGACGCGACAACCGACGGGGACCGGCGGGCCCTCCCGCTCCCATCCCGGCCAGGCTGAAGAGACGTGGGACGTGGCGGAGAAAACAGACGCATTGAACTGCTGATATGCCCAGCGGTGACTGAACGTTTCGCCAGTACTGCGCAATAATTCGCCGTGAATGCTATATTTACTCTGCACCCAAGAGACGCCGTAAAACAGGCGGCTGATTGCAGCCGGAGCTGGAGAGCGGGCAGGGAGGGAGAGTTCGCTATCGGGTGATCAGCTGTGACGCACGTGGACGGTTCATATTCGACGGTCTTCCCCATTAATCTGCCGGGGCGACGCACGGCAGCTGTCGCACGCAATCATGCACCAGCGCATGACGTCACTGGAGCAGCCGGCGCCGCTGGGCCGTGTTGGGCCGGCAGATAATCTCGGCCATTTCCACGAGCGTCGATGGCCAACGCGACCTCGTTCCGGACGGTTCTTCAACTTTATGAATCCGGGTCAAACGGCGCGCCCCAGGCGAGCACCGTCAGTCGGGCCGTCGTCATGCGCCACGAGTGTTCAGCAGCGGCTGGCGTCCGAGGAGCGCAATCAGCGTTCGTCGGAGCGACAATGCAGTCGGCGACCCTTCAGACAGCCGCCGCCGGACGAGGCACTCTTCAGCATTGCCGGTATGTGCGGACGTCTGGCGTCTGGACCAGCTAATCGGATTATGATGGGAGCCGAAGGTTAGCAGCCGGTGGACGGTCACAGTGGCGCGCGGGCGCGCACGACCCCAGACCCGCGGCTGCAGCGACAGACGCAGCTCCGGCGAGGCGGCTGAACTTGCTGGCGCTCCGACACACTGGACGTCGATGCGGCGCCGCCTACACAGAGCATCGCAAAAGCCATGGATGACGCTTAATATGGCATCGAACCTAATGCCCCCTCCGCAGAGGGGCACGGCCAGCTTCCCAGCGCCGCCACCTCCCGGGTGAGCCGGGGGCGAGGCGGCTGCCACCTCCGGCCGCCGTCTCCGCACTGCGGGAGCGGCGCGGCCGGCGCCGCGGGTCGGCCGCCCCCCACAGCTGGCGCCGGGCGCCCCGCCGGCGGCCGAGTCGCAGCCGGCCGGACGCGGGTTGTGTTTGCGCTCGGCGAGCGCGGCACAACACATCACAGCCGCTAATAGCCCGGCGGCCGGCGGCCGGGCCGGCGGAGTCGGCGCCGCGCGGGCGAGTCGCGCCGTTGACGGCCCCACCGTGTCGGGCCCCGCCGCCGCGAGCCCGAGCCTTCAGGCCTGCGCGTCGCCGGCCGCCCCGCGCACCGGCCGCCCCTCGACCGAGTCCGACGAGTGCGTCAGGCGCCACCACCAGAGAACCCGACACCATTGTAGAACTGCAGAAGGCTGGCATCACCGGAGCGGCCATTTACAATTGACCGGAAGAGCGACTGGTGCCGTCAGACACGCTCCCGCCCCCGGCACCGGTGAAAGGTCTGGTCACTCGTGTGTGCAACTAGCTGGCAGTCAACCAACAATACACCGGTGCCCGGCGGCAAGTCTTCTAACGCTGTCGTCATCACCAATCCCACAAAGACCACAGATAGATCCACTGGCAGCATGTGGCATTACGGACTCTGTCTCCCTTACCCTTGAATTTCCCTGCTTCATTTGGACTCATTACATCACACACGACGTCAAACGGACAAGTCAGATGAGATACATCCCGTAAATTATCATTGACAACACCAGGCACAGTCCCCCTGTCCAACGCCACTGCCACAGGTCTTCACACGAACACACGCCGCTTCCACGAGCTGGGCGGTGGGTTCGCGTGCGCCGGCCGACAGCGGCCGTTCGGCGGACAAGGCTGGCGGCCTCGGTGACCCCGAAGCTCTCCCGGCCGGCCGGCCGCTGTACACGGCGCCCTCGGCGTCAGCCATCATCCCGGCCGGCCCCAGGCCCCGCCGGCCGGCACAGACCGGCCCCGAACGGTGCTGGACGGGGTGGATTGACGGGGCGGTCTGGGCACAGCAGACACAGAGGCTGGCGGGTTGGACACAGCAGACACAGAGGCGGGCGGTCTGGCCACGGCAGACACGGAGGCTGGCGGTCTGGACACGGCAGGCAGGGAGGTGGACACGGCAGACACGGAGGCGGGCGGTCTGGGCACGGCAGACACGGAGGTGGACACGACAGACACGGAGGGGGACGGTCTGGACACGGCAGACACGGAGGCGGGCGGTCTGGACACGGCAGATACAGAGGCGGGCGGCCTGGACACGGCAGACACGGAAGCTGGCGGTCTGGACACGGCAGACACGGAGGTGGACACAGCAGACACGGAGGCGGGCGGTCTGGACACGGCAGACACAGGGGAACACGGCACCCACCGCAGGGCTGGTCTGAACAGTCTCCCGGGGGCTGACGGTCCGAACATGACATGTGTGGAAGTCGATCTGAACAGGATAGTTGGACGCACTGCTGTCACTTTCTTCACATCTGACCTTCACTGCCAAGGTAGCACGCTAGTGCCGCGAAAGTCGGTGATTAGCTTACCTGATCATCCTAAACGGAAAGCATGAAAAGTAAACACAATTAGGTCCCAAGAAAGCGGCGAGCTGATCTCCAGCGGACAACAGGCACTCAGTTCACACACCCAGTCCTTCTTGCGCCGATCCGATGAACTACATTACGACCACCTGCCGCTGACCGCTTCCCGCGGCGCGCTTTTTCGGCCAACCATTAGTGGATGAGCCCAGCAATCCCGATGACCTTAACCGATGTGATGCGCATAACTGCCGATTATCCCTTGGGCTAAGCTCCGCAGACTCTGGAGGGCATCAAACCCAGTCACCATCGGGCCTGCCTCCCCTGCCCGCAGCCGCGAGAGGCGCCAACAGACGGTGGAAAACGGAATCAATCAAACGTAACAACAGTCCCGGTCTCGCCGACAGTGTCCACGTCGGGTCAACAGTACGCAACAGTCACGGTCCCATCACAGACGCTGTTTACGAGAGGGCCCACGGCCGCTGGTACTAAACGAAAGCAGGCGGAAGTGCAACATAATAAGTTCAGAAGCACAGCTGCTTAGTCTGATGACTTAGTCTGATGGACACCGGACTCGATCCCTGAGGTCCATTACACCTCGGCAAACCGCCAATATGTCCATGTTGGAGACACTTGGTGAGTCCACAGAGCCACTGCAGAGTTGGGTTGCATGTAGCGCATTCGACTTGACAATGACGGGACGAGAAACAACAACCCCGCCGCAATGTCGGGAACGACACGCATCCGGATGACGGTCCGCTTGCACCGCGCCATGCTGGAAGCGTGTGATGAGCTTCCTCTTACTCAACTCCCGTATCTACACACCACGGCTGTGATATCGTGCGTCATGACCCAGAACAGACCGTCGATGCCAGACGGCGCAATGCATCCCCATTCACCAGTCCAAATGCACAAAAAATGTACACCAGTCTGTGCCCGCATCCAAAGGCAAGCAGCATAACCAATGCAACGCAAGAGTGGGGTTAGGCCTACTTAACTGGCTGGCTGTACAGGAGGCATCCTGATCTAGCCCAAACATTCCTGATAACGACTTATTGTCCTCGTGACAAGGAAACGTAATCAGTGACCCACCTGTCCCCCGTGTGCATGACACGAGGCAGAGTGCCCGTCATGTGAACGTTAGATAGACCACCGCGCGGTCAACTCATGATGGACTTGAATTCAAACGGACGGCCGCGCAGTTCCCTGCCTTCCAGCCCGGGTCAAGAGTCGCCTGTGGTAAGCGTGTCCTCCACACTCCCCACAGACCAGCAGGCGTCGCGCGTCTACCCCGCCTCCCGGTGGGGGCCGGGCCCGCCGCTCCCAGCCCCACCACAGGGCCGCCAGCCCCTATTACCCGACTCCCAGGGGAAGCCGACCCCCCCCCCCCCCCCGCTCCCAGCCCCACCGCAGGGCCGTCGGGCGTGCCCGGTTCCCGTCAGCCCCCAACCCCTACCTCCCAGTGGAGGCCGACCCCTGCCGCTCCCAGCCCCGCCGCAGGGCCGTCGGGCGCGTCGGCTGACCTGTCGTCGGGCGACGAGCCCAGCCGCGGCAGCAGCGAGCGCTCCTGCTTGTTGACGCGGTCGGCCGGCACCGAGACGCTGCGGTTCAGCTCGCCCATGTTGGCCGCCGCCGTCATGGAGAGGCGCAGCGTCTTCTTGCGGCCGTGCCTGACGGCGAGCAGAGGGGTCAGAGGCAGTGGCCGCCGTGGGAGGGCAGGCGATGCCAAACGGATGACCGGCCGCCAACAGGCTGGCCAGTTTGGCAGCACCACGGACGGACGTCAAACGCAGGTGGACACCTCGCGCCGGTCATTCGCGGAGGGCAGGGGGACACTCTCGAGCAGGACCACAAACGTAGATGGGAGGAGCAATGAAGCAAGCGCTGGAAGCCCCAACACATCGGAAGAGATGCAAAACTAAGCGAAACACGGCAGGCCACTTGATCCGCTTGCACTGCTGAGTCTAACCTACAGATGCACCCGCACTTCACACATCCCTCCTCCAGACGCCCCCCCCCAGGATCCGCGTTCAGCCGCATCCCGCTCCCACATCGTCCCATGGCCACATCAGCGACATCGGACTCGGACGCCGCCCCGGCCGCTGACTCACTCGTTGATGAACGGGTCGTCCAGCAGCACGCAGGCTGTGGCCCGCTTGTCCGGGTTGGCCTCGAAACAGCTCAGCAGGAACTTCTTGGCCTTCTCGGAGAGCGACTCGGGCAGCTGCGGGTGCATCTTGTAGAAGCCCACCTGGGACCAGAGGGGTGTGCTCGTGGAGAGGCTGGCTCGGCGCGCTGGAAACCCCCCAGTCAGGAGCGCCAAACACCAGCCGGCACCGGCCGTTGACCCGTCAGTTACGGCTCGCCATCAGGTGTTAACGTGATGGAGCCAAACACCAGCCGGCACCGGACGCTGACCCGTCAGTTACGGCTCGCCATCAGGTGTTCACGTGATGCGCCAAACACCAGCCGGCGCCGACCGCTGACCCGTCAGTTACGGCTCGCCATCAGGTGTTCACGTGATGGCGCCAAACACCAGCCGGCACCGGCCGCTGACCCGTCAGTTACGGCTCGCCATCAGGTGTTCACGTGATGGAGCCAAACACCAGCCGGCACCGGCCGCTGACCCGTCAGTTACGGCTCGCCATCAGGTGTTCACGTGATGGAGCCAAACACCAGCCGGCACCGGCCGCTGACCCGTCAGTTACGGCTCGCCATCAGGTGTTCACGTGATGGAGCCTGTACTCAACACCTCACACATGGACCGGCCTTCGCAGCTTTCCCCGCATGTCCACTTCGGATCGAAGCCCGTCGCCCCGTTCCGGTCCGGAGCGCCGCCAGCTGACCACGTACCTTGAACATGGCCGCCTCCGGCGAGCCGAGCTCGATGAAGGGCGGCTTCCCGGTGGCCATCTCCACCACCGTGCAGCCCACCGACCAGATGTCCGCCTGCCGAGACCGGCCGCCGGCCGGGCGGTCAGAAACAGCGGCGCCACCCCCAAACGGCCCGGGCGTCACGCCGACAATAGCATCACGGCGGGACGCAGCGAACGAATGCCTACAAACGGTGTAAAATGTGTGGAGGATGTACCGATTTTGGGGGGTAGGGGAGGGGGACGATGTGATGGGCGTGCAGGATTAGAGGAGAGTCGGGCCCAGCACCGAACGTGAGACAGGCACCGCGACGCGACGACAAGCAGCCGGCGCCTGGGTCAGACATACGATCGCCATACACGTGCAACACGTGCAATCCATCAGTTCTCCGCCGCCGTGACCACTCTGAGTGGGCAGTCGCGGACAGCGAAGCGCACGGCCCCGCATCGGCAGCGTCTCTCGCTGGTGACCTGAGGACGGGTCCCACACCGCTGCGCAGCGTCCTCGCCGTCCTCTGGCCAGAACCCGAGCGGTGGTGACGTACCGGCGCGCCGTATCCGCGCTGCCCCTTGTCGATGACCTCCGGCGCCATGTACTGCAGCGTGCCGGTGAACGTCTCAGCCGTGGGGCACAGGCCAGCCAGCCGCTTGCTGGTACCGAAGTCGGAGATCTTCACCATGCCGCTGTACGTGTTCACCAGCACGTTGTCGCCTGCGGCCGGGTGAGGGCGGCCGGGTCAGAGCGGCCGGGGCAGGGCGGTCGGGTGAGGGCGGCCGGGTCAGGGCCACCGGCCGGAGCAGGGACTCCCAGCGGGGTGGTGCCGTCCACAAGCCGGCGACGGGTGCCGTCCGGCCGCCGCGCCGGCGGGCCGGCCACTCCCAGCGGGGTTCTCAGCGGCACACGGTGCGTTGGCCGGCACACCGCGCGCGTGGCAGCGCTGGCGTGGCGTCCCGCTGGTCCGCACAACCAGCCACACTGGCTCTGTCAGTAATGTAAGCTTACAGCGGCCAGCCACGTACACTGGCGACGTGTCTGAGGCTTTCGCTGCTTGGTGCACGGTGGAGGCAGAATACCGCTCGTCCACTTCGCCGTTGTCGTGGTATTATAACAGTATCACACATTCGTAATTTTACGGGGAACCACGACGCCCACGCCACCCATTCAGACATTGGTGCGAAAACCGTCTTATCGCCTGTATTTGACGCGATAAGAGCAGAACTGCTAGATAAGAGCAACGCCTGCCTGCACGGCAAACGCCGCCGAACGACCACGCCGCCTGCTTTGACAACGTGGCGGGTTGTGACCTTCGCACATGATCACGTGATCCGACCTTTGATGTCGCGGTGGACGATCTTTTGGTCGTGTAAATACTTGACGCCCTCCAGGATCTGCTTGGTGTAGTAGGCGATGGTGGCCTCGTTCTTCAGCGGGCCCCACTTGAGCTTCAGCAGGGCCGACAGGCTGCCGCCGGGCACCTGCGGGCCCCCGGTCGCCGACCGTCAGCGACAGAACATGACGTCACGCCGGCACTGACCCAGCACGCTGCAGCCGCACCGGGGGCGCCGGCACGAGACACGCGGCGGCCGGCGCCAGCGCACAAACACACGCCCTGTCGCGAGCCCACGCCGGTGTCGACACGGCACGTGAGCGCGACAGGCGGGTGCCAGCGCTCGGCGTGCAGCTGCGTCACCATCAGCCGTCACGCACGCGCCGACACGGTCCTCAACACTGGCCGGTGAGTCCCCCGCCAGGAGCGTCGCCGCCTCCGGGCACAACGCAGCTCCGGGCGGGTCCCCGGCCACACGGGCAGAGGTCTGTCCCTGCCCAAGGTCGGGTTCGAACCCCAGCGAGCGAACGGCGGCAAGCTGTGACAAATGACGGGGCAGGGGAGAGTCAGCCTCACCTGTCAGCGGGCAATGGAAAGAAGTGAAAGAATCAGACCACTTCTGTGGCACACGCAGCGCGCTCATGCTACACGAGAGCGTCACCAGCTTTCGTTAACACCTCAATGCCCCTCGCACGACGTAAGTGCTCGCTGCTCACCTCTTCCATGAATATTTTGAAGAAGCCGTCTTCAGACACTGATCCCAGGTACTGCACGATGTTCCTGTGGCGCAGCTGCTTGTGCAGGTTGATTTCCTCGTGCAGCGGCTGCACGTCACTGATGAACACCAGGAAACAGTGCACCGTCTTCAGTTTCTCCAGACACAATATGATGTCTTTCAGTTCACTCGTTACCCGGCTTCGAACGTGGAGCTCTGTTCAGTCTCAGGCGACAGCACGCGTACAAACCTCTCACGACACAAATCCCCTCGGCGTTCACAAACAACAGCGACGATCGCGTCCAGTTCCGAGCCAGTACCGCCTGCGTCTGGCTGGCTACCGCAGCCGACCGGAGGCCCGCGGAGGAGCCGCCGGCGGGACCGGCCGCAGCCCCACTCACCCGATGTTCTTCTCGGGGATCTCCTTGACGGCGATGCGGACCTGGGTGGTGAGGTCGCGCGCCGCGTACACCACGCCGTAGGTGCCCTTGCCCAGCACGATGCGCCGGTCCTGCTCGTCCGCCTCGTACTCGTACTGCGGACGGAGCGCGGGGCGGGGTCAGCCACCGGGCGCGGGTTTACGACAGGGCACGAGAGAGCGCGGCACGCCCATTCCGGCGCTTTCCAGCTCATCCGACACGACACCGGGCGGCGGCCCGCCACCAGACGCCCCTCGGGCACGGCACGGCACGCAGCCGGGCACCACTGGCCGACGGCCGACGGCGGAGCCCCACGCCGCCAGCGGTCTCAGGTCCGGGCGGCGATCCGGTCCCGACCCGCCGCCAGCACCGAGCCCCCACCTCGCACTGACCTGCGGCGCCGTGCCCAGCGTCACGTCGTTGCCGAGGTCGGTCACCATGCCCTCCATGTCGGCCGTCATCTGCAGCACCAGGTTGTAGAAGCGCTGCCGCAGCGCCGCCGACGGGAAGAACATCTGGAAGTCGTCCGAGTTCTGGTGCACGTACAGGAACACGCACCGATCGTCCCGCTTGTACTGGCTGAAGCGGAGGGCAGGAGGGGAGTGGCGTCAGCCCGGCACGCGGCACCGTGTACCGGCCCGACACGAAGCGCTGACGGGGCGCCGAGGTCCAGGTGTCTTACGGCGTGCTCAAAGTTGAACAAATCGTGATAGCGGAGGAGCTGGGCAATGGCTTCAGGATGCCGCTTCTGGGAACTGGCACCATGAAAAGTCATTGTACGCCGCGAACGGCCCGATGCAGTATGCTCCTCACGCCAGACTGAACAGATCCACGATTGTGTCAAAAGGTTGATTATATTAAAGTGCAGTCCAAATAACCCACAAATCGAGGTACACGGGTCCCCGATTACATGTGTGGATGCGACCACTCCCCAGACAAATCTCTCTCGAAGGAACCCAGTCAACCATGAACAGGCTCAGCACCAATGGCTGCCCTCCACTGTACCTGATGCTTTTGATATGGGTCGCCTCCAGCACGAACTCGTGCACGCGACGGCACCTGTCCTTGAGGCTATCCAAGCAGAGGTTGGAAATATGCATGGCCGACGTCTCCGCGTCCAGGTTGACCACCACGTAGCTGGGCATGTACTCCTTGGTCGGCTCCAGCACCAGCACCTGCCGGCGGTGGCGGTCGCGTAAACGCACCAGCGGCCCCTCCGCCGCCGGAGACGCCGCTCCAGAGACCGAGCGCGGCTCCGGCAGAGACAGGCCCGCGGCTCCTGCCGGGACAGGCCCGCGGCTCCGGCCGGGACAGGCCCGCAGCTCCTGCCGCTGCTCTCGGCCGGCTCGTGCGAGCCAATGCTAGTCGGCGGAGCGTCAGCACACAGCGCGTCGACCCGCACTGCCAGACCAGCGTCGACACAGGGACCATCCGTCCGCGCCTCCGACGTCATCCTACGTCATCCTACGACCACGCAAAATGAATGTGAAGCGGGCACAGGTATTGTGCGGCCGACGTTGTGGACTTTCATACAGTCCGTTCAAATGTCCTTGGGTCAACACAGCAGCGTGGCTCCTTCGGGTAACCCATGGCACAGCAGGGACAACAACAGTTTGTGTATAGGTATCTTACTCACCGGAAACCGAATGGTGTTCACGGAGGCCTCGTCGACAATGCCCTCCGAGAAATAGTCCATCCAAAAGTCAAAGATCTGCATCTCAGGCACCTTCTCGTTGTCTTCGGAATGCTTCCGAAACTTCTGAATAAGAGTAATATTCCCGATCGTTGATTTCAAATACCTGAAAGGAAAGCACAATAATTGTTCGCATTGGGAAAAATTAACGGATCCTGCGCTCATTAACATACGTTAACTTATCACTTTACGGGCATCGTTTGCGCCTTTGGGAGCAAACTAAAAAAAGGCGTTGTTTCTGGGTTCAATTGTTCCGTGCGCGAAATGGAGCCGAATCCGTGAATGCAAGGATTCCAGTGACCAGGCATGACAGCCATATCAGAACTGACGCTGCCTGACCTCTCAACGGGATGCACCGCGCCGAGAACTGTCAAAAACGGACACCGCCCGGGCAGGACGAAACATTTCAGCAGAAGTGGGTAAAGTACCTCATTTTCGAATAAAAGTCAAAATCTAAGAACACGCAGAGCACAACAGAAAAGAGAAAACACCGCGGTGACATACAACGGTGCCTCGTTCACAACAACTGGGGGCGGAAGTGATCTCGAACAAAACGACAGCAAACACTACCCACCAATTAGGGACTTGAGTTTGAACATGCTCTCGGCTGCCTGTATGGCCTTGGAGTAGTTCTCGGCCAGCACACTGATCTCGAAGAACGTGGCGATGTCCCCAGTAGTCCTGCAGGGAGGAGAGACTTCCCTTCTTCCCGATCAGGTTGTTCAGTGTCATACCTGCCGCACAGACCGTTCTCAATCAAAGTCGACGACCGTGGCTTCTGGCGCACGCTAATGGGGATTGGGATGACGGCAGCTAACGCCGTTTGCTGGCGGACGGCCGCTAGACCAGGCTAGACCGCAGTCCACGGTGGGTGATCCAGTCCCCACACGGAGACACAGCCCGCCAGGATCTGCCGTCTAATACATCGGATCGGTGGAGCCAACTCAGCAGCTGGGGAGCCGCACAGCGACGCTGGGCGCTGGGCGCAGCAGGCCGCTGGGCGACACGTCCGTCTCACCAGGCCGGTGAGCCGATACCCTTCCGCGGCCCGCACCGCCCCAAACCAGCGACGCTGGGCGCAGCAGGCCGCTGGGCGACACGTCCGTCTCACCAGGCCGGTGAGCTGATACCCTTCCGCAGCCCGCACCGCCCCAAACCAGCGTGCAAGCAACACTGCGCTCACGTCAGTGCACAGGAGCGTTCGCGTCAACACGGCCCCCGCCCGCGACTGGGCGGTGCCCAGACACTGGCGACAGACAAGTCCGGCAGCCGCCCGTCCCAATGCCGCGTCCCCCCCCCCCGTCCCGCCACGCCCCGCACGTACCGATCTGCTGCAGCTCGCGCTTTTGGAGAATTCGTTGCCGGCCACCACCAGCAGGGTGGGCAGATTGACGCCGGCGTACTCGTTGGGCTGCACCTCGAAGCCCTTGCGGTACCAGTGGATGGCGTTATCCAGGCTTTCGGCGTCCGAGTGGCCCGACTCCACGAAGATATCCTTATAGATGCGGCCGCACAGGCAGAGCATGTCGGGCACGTGGTTCTCGGTGCGCTCCAGCGCCTCGCGGATGACTTTCAGCGCCCGGTCGCGGTCGTTCTCCCAGCTTCCGTCTGCGGGGGACCGGGGCAGCGCCGGTCAGCAGTGAGGCGGGCGGTCCGGCGGCACACGACTCCGCCGGGAGCGTGCGCTCCCCGCCAGGACCAGCGCGCACCGGCAGGTCGCCTGCTGACCGCCGAGGGTGCGCGCAATGGCTCGCTGGTGCCACCCGCCGCCCCGCCGCCAACACCCCACCTGGTGAGGGCGAAGGCGAACAGGTGCTGAATGGCCACGGGCGAGGTGTACTTCTTGTGGTTGGGCAGCGTCATCAGGTCATCCCCAGCTTCACCATGGCGTCGTAGTCCTGCGGAGTTCAGAAGCGGTGACGACACGCCGGTCACGGAGCCGCTCTGGCAGAGGCATGCCGGCAGGCACGCACCTTCCCAGTAAACGTTCGCTCCCGCTCTGGTCGGCGCCGGCAACACTCAGACATACGGCAGGTGCCTCCCGCGACCCAGTTAGAGGCGGTGTTTGGCGGTTTGATGAGTCGTGCGAGTGCGCGCAGGACTGAGACCCAAGCTCGTGATAGATAGAACATTAAACAAGTGTCTCAATCATACCTTAGAATTCGGGCCAAACCGGTATAGACCTTTCAGCGCTAAGGTTTCGTCAATGTCAGCTATGCGAAATGACACTGGCAAAAACACTGAAAAACGTGCAGGCACTTTTAGACTTTGACCAGAATATCAATCCTGTTCATTATGATTTCCATCATTCATTTCAATAATTCCATAAAACTGTCATCTTGAACACTGGCGCAAAAGAAGACTTAAAAGTCGGACGACAGCCTTCTGGACATTGTTTTGGGGTCTATATTGTTACCATATTTTTGTTTTTGGGAACGTGCTTGTTTTTGGCTCAAATTTATGACGTAGCATATACTTCTTGTTACTTTTCTTTTTACATAGCTTTAAATAAAGTTTCAACAAAACGGCCAGCTTGTCTTGTAATGACAGATGTGACACGAGTACAGCATCATCAGTAAGGAAAGAAAACCAAAGGAAAGACACTTAGATACGTAAAATACTTTGCTTCGTTTGCAAAGGTGATGCCCATCATAACACTAGCATGTTCCATCTGCTTCCGCAGTCGAGGCAAGGCTGGGTATTGACTTAAGTACGCTACGTCAAGCGCATTCGAGGAGTAATGCCAGTGCGGAGACATCATCCTTTTCAGTGAGCATGAAGAATGGCGGCTTGAATGGTTTCGTTGTGAACATGCTGCAGTTTATGCGCTGTCTGAGAACCCGAAGAAGCATCAATGACCCGCGTATGACGTAAAGACCCGTCGGGTCTTTTTGTGCATTGCTGAGCAATCATCACGGCAAGTCACTTGTGACGGCGAAAGCGCGAGACAAAGCAGGCGACAACCACTACTGAGGGTTGCTTATTGGCTGCTATTAACCACCGTACCAACCAGTGATCCGTGAACTAGCACAGGTGTGTGCATTGCGGCTACAGCACAGTGCGTCTCATTCAGGAAAGGTGACGTGCGGCTACAGCACAGTGCGTCTCATTCAAAAAGGTGACGTGAGGGCTACAGCACCATGCGTCTCATTCAGAAAGATGACGTGCGGCTACAGCACAGTGCGTCTCATTCAGAAAGGTGACGTGAGGCGGCTACAGCACAGTGCGTCTCATTCAGAAAGGTGACGTGCGGCTACAGCACAGTGAGTCTCATTCAAAAAGGTGACGTGAGGCTAACAGCACCATGCGTCTCATTCAGAAAGGTGACGTGCGGCTACAGCACAGTGCGTCTCATTCAAAGGTTGACGTGCGGCTACAGCACAGTGCGTCTATTCAGGAAGGTGACGTGCGGCTACAGCACAGTGCGTCTCATCAGGAAGGTGACGTGCGGCTACAGCACAGTGCGTCTCATTCAGAAAGGGTGACGCATCGGCGCCGAGCTGGCGACGGGGCGCGCTGCAGGCATTCCGAGACCAACAGAGCATGCACTGAAGCCCGGCGGGC